AAGCAGTTTTTTTGTAAAAACTGGAAAAAAAAACATTTTCTTTTTTTTCATTTTTAGTAAAAAATTGTTTTTAGTTTTTTTCAGTTTTTACAAAAAAAAATATATTTTTTGGGTATGAGTAATGAGTCTTTTTAATTAATCAGGAGATATTTAGAATTGACCAACAGGACGATGACACGTGTCCCTCCGTTTAAATGAGGGGTATATTTGAACTCAAAGTATGACTGTAGGGGTATAGATAACCCAATAGTATAACAAGGGGTATTCTTAGACCATTTTCAAAAATAGAGAGATATATTTGCCCTTTGCCGTAAGAGAAATATATTGCTTCAATTTCTTCGGCCATGACAATAAGTTTTCTCTCCCGTCGCCCATTTTTCTCTCAAGCTCTTGATGGAAATACTACAGTAATTAGGTTTATTTCTCAAGTTTTATCAAGTGAGAAGTTACTTAACTGTTATTTCAGAAAATAACCTCTTACTTTATCAATTAGACTTTAGTCATTACACCTAATTAACCATATTTTAATCGATCAGATCAGGATAAAGTCCTACAATAAATATCGGGTGGACCACATCTTATTTATTGCTTTTAAGCATTTGACTGTGATGTTTTGATTTGAAACCTAATCCAATCATTCCACAACATAAAAGTTGTATATGTCATTCCCATTTTCATTTCCCTTTCTCCAAAAGTGTGGATTCATTATTACAATGAACAAATTTTGGTTTTCTAGTGCGCAAGTTGAGGAGTATTTTACCTCTAGGTGCCACGGATATTCCCCACGTAAGGGTATAAATATAATAAAACACCATCGATAAAGAATTAAGCGATAAAAGAAAAGTTAGTTTGAACGAGTAACGATTGTTTCTTTTTGTTCAATTTTATTTTTTCTGCTTGCTTTCTTGTATAAGGGTGAAAATGCTTTAAAAAAAGCATCTCCGTTACAAATAAAAAAATGGTTAGATTTGTTTTTGTTGTTGCTACAATTATTTTCCTCTTTATTTTCTTCTCAGACCCTTAGATCAATATATCATCATTGCATCACCTATACGATTATGCAAAACCTATGCGAAAATATTGGTTACCTAAGGAACAACGTCCTTGATGTAATTTGTTTCTCTTTTATTAAAAGAAATAAAATAGGTGTCACTTAATTTTTGGCTAGTTATTTAGAGACATTATTACCTATGATCGCTAGGGATAAAATTTTCCCACATAGCTTGCACGTGAAACTCGTGATTTACTTTAAAGCATATGCTCTCTACAAAAATATTCAATATCATTGGAATATGTCTCTAACATGATTCCAAAGGAAAATTTTGATTTTGTCAGCCAAAATTTTGAAATGGCTATCAAATTGCCCTTATTACAGGTCGATTGAACGAAGACGTAATCATTCTGACAGACCTTTATTCTGCTTAATAAATAATACTATTATACGTAGTAATTAGTAAGGTCACTATAACAAAATGTAGGTCAAATCCCACCGGAATGAACTTAGGCCTCATTTGTTTTTTTTAAGATTAAGACGTCTGAATCTGAATACACGTCTGAATATCAAGATGTGTATTAAGATTAAGACATCTGAATACACATCTGAATGTTAAGATGTGTATTAAGATCTGAATACTAAGTGATTAAGACTGTTTGATTTTTAACATCTGAATGTATAAAATTTACGTTTATTTAAAAATTAATAAACATAAAATTTAAATAAAATACTAATTAATCTAATATTCCATCACTAAAATATATAATTTTTTAAAATATGATAGTTGTTGGTGGTGATGGCTAACGGTAGTACTTGTGAATGCCGACTAAAAGCGGTGGTTGGTGGTAGATTTGATTGATGGTGGTAGTTTAGGGTAGTAGCTAGTGGTGATTGGTAGTGGTAGCTATTATGATTGAGGATGGTGGTGGTGGGTGGTGATAGTTAATAATGGCGAGTGGTGGTGGTGGTAGTTGTAATTAAGGAAGATGGTGGCACTACTAGAAATCCGGTAAAAACCGACAAAAAAATCGACCAACATTGGTCGGTAATGGCCAAAAACCGACCAAAATGCGACCATTTACGTGTGGACGGTATTTTTGTGGTCGGAAAGGCATAGCGACCAAAGTTGGTCGGAAATTACCGACCAACTTTGGTCGGTCAATTAAATTCAAAAAAAAATATATTGCAAAAAAAAACCGACCAAAGTTGGTCGGTTTTTTTCGACCAAAGTTGGTCGGTATTTTAATTGTGTAATAAAAAGATTCACCATCTGGGAATCGAACCAGGGTCTGTACTGTGGCAGGATACTATTCTACCACTAGACCATTGGTACATTTTGTTTTAAGACTGTCTTTTATTTGATTTATACTCTTTAATTGTATTTTCGCACGAAAATAACCGACCAAAGTTGGTCGGTTTTATTAAAAAGTAAATTTACCGACCAAAGTTGGTCGATTTTTTTAAATGTCCGGCCGAATTAACCGACCAATTTTGGTCGATTTTTTTAATATTAATTTTTATTTATTTTAATTGAAAAACCGACCAAAGTTGGTCGGTTTCTTGAAATATAAATTTCACAGGACTCAAAAATAGTTTCCCGTATTTTTGCGTCAAAGAAAACCGACCAAAGTTGGTCGGTTTCGTAAACAAAAATTTTAAAAAAAAATATTTTGAAAAACCGACCAACTTTGGTCGGTTTTTTGACCGACCAAAGTTGGTCGATCGACCTTGGTCGGTTTTTGTCGAATTTCTAGTAGTGTGGTGGGTGGTGGTAGTTTATAATGATGGGCAGTGCCAGCTATGGTTGTTGATGGTGATGGGGTGGTTAGTTGTGATAGTTAAGGTGGATGGGTGTTGGTTGTCGTTGAGAATGATGGTGGTAGGAGTGGTGGGGATGATAGGTGGTGGTAGTCGATAATGGTGGCGGCTATGATTGAGGATGGTGGTGGTGGTTGAGTATGGTGGTAATGGGTGGCATGGTGGTAGTTGATAATGGTAGGCGGTGACGGTAGTTAATAATGAATATGTATGATAACATCTTAATGAAATTAAGTCTCTGTTACAGATCTTAATAATACAGACCTATTCAAACCCATTAAGTGATTGTGAAGTAAAAAAATAAATACACTTAATAATTAAGATCTGCATAATTAAGATTCAGACTTTAAAAACAAACGCGCTTAATATCTGAGATCTGAATGATTAAGATTGAGACCTTCATTAAGTGCAAACAAATGAGGCCTTAGACACCTATTTAATATGGGACATCAGGACTAGTTCATATAATGAAACTATGTCATAGACTATAGTCTATATATAAAACTTAGTTAAATGCTCCCTCTATCCCAATTCAAATGAGTCATTTAGATTGCATGTGTTTTCTAAATTAATAATAAATTTTAATTTTATTTACATAAAAGTTGGCCAAATATAGAAAAAGTTTGCTTTTATAAAGATTTGGGACAGTACTTTGAACAAAAAGTTATTTCCAAAGTAAATTTTGGAAAACCAAATAATTAGGAAAAATATTAATAAGTGTAAGGAAGAAATTTCCCACTAATGAAAATGGACAGAGTTCTAGGACAACTTAAAATAGAGAGCAAATAAAACTTATTAATTTGGATTAGAAGGTGTAACTTTTTGTGGATACATACTCTTTTCCGCTAGCTATAGCCTATAGCTATGAACTAATTAACTTGTGGGACTAACTCTTTTTTACTCCATTTTTTTGGTTAACGTTCTATTTTTCTTTCTTTTTTAAAAAGTTCTGGGTGGGTAAGAGGGTAGTATATTACTAAATCAATTTATGCAAATAGAATAAGACAGGTGAACAACCAGAGATTTCTCTGTAAAGGAATTTCCTTTCCCATATCAGAAAAAGGTATCAAGGGTTTCGAAGTAAACATGGCTCTTCATTTCTTCACCCCTAAGTTTATTAAGATGAGATAAAAGGCACAAATATCAGCTTGTAATTCTTACTCTTTTCATGTTTAGCTTTAATTTTCCGATTTGAGAGGAGTCACATCATAGTAATATTTTGAGAAGTACTTTTACAAGTGCTGCATTCCAATTTTTTCCTGGTTCCCCTCAAGAATCTTTAATTTATAAGTGGAAGTCTCCAAATTTGGGAAGTAGCTTATGAATATCGTCTACGCATATTCGATTTGAGTAACTGATCGTCCATATATAACGTGCAAGAGAAATCCTAGTAATTTTAGCTTTAATAAAATCAAATTTGCATAGCTAGAGAAAGCACTTCAAGAAATTTCAATGGAGGAGTACTTTTAAGAAATAATAGATTAGTGACACAGCAATTTTGTAAAGCTTCATAGCTCGAGGATATTTTGTAACTTCTGCATAACTAAGAGCTTGTTAGAACAATATGATATCATAAAATAAAAATAAAAAAATCAGAGAGAAGACATCTAACCTTGACTTCCAAATATACCAAGGAATCAAGAGAAAATTTTCAAAAGAAGAGAGATTGAGGAGGATTAAGGGGTCGGTCAGCAGAATTGCTGTGGAATATCTAAGATAGGTCCATCAGGCCCCAGAGGTGATCAATTGATCATTGTTCATAAAGTAGAATCCACCAGATCTTCGACTAAATGATAAAATTAAGACAAGTGCCAATGGACTTGTTATGCTTTCGCGCTTTGGAATATTTTCGTATATATAATATATTAAAAAGTATTTTACCCGGTATATCTTGGTTTTCAAATTTCTTGATTTCTTTTACAATTTATATACAATCAGCGTAGTATCTGCAATGACAGAAATAAAACAGAATAGTTTCTGCAATATGTCACCATCTTCTCCAACTAATGTTGGCATTAGTTCATTTATTTACCATGAATTCAAGAAAATAAAATAAAATATCGTTCCCAAGTCAAAGCCAAGTGTCAAATGGCTTCATTTACTCAATATTTACAAACCTACAGTCCAAGCTAAACTAGGAAAATGATCATAATTTGGCACTCTTTTTAGCTAGAATTTGGAGATGAACTTGTAAGCAAAAATTTCCCACAAATTATGATTTCCCCCCACCTTTTTGGGTAAATAGGAGGGCATTAAACCAAGATGTATATTCCACACAGGAAATTTAGCTTAACAACAATGTTTGAGCACTATTACTTCTCTGACAACTGCCAAAATTAATAAGGTACAACTAACACATGTACCTACGAAAACTATAACATTGCAGCATAAAATCACCAGAACACAACTCATATGCTGGTAGTTTCTATCTCCAACACCTTATATAACAGCCAGATTGGCATGGAAAGGAAGACAGAAAATAAATCTTTAGATGGCTTTGATTTTCTTTGCCACATCTATAGCACTATGGTTCGGTATCAGCACAACATATGCTTTCTTTGTTCCATCAGGCATGATCGATGTATTTATTTTCTTCATTTCAATCTTAAACAGCTTCTTTACAGCATCCCTTATGCTCTTCTTGTCAGCATCTTCGTGAACAACAAAAACCAAAGTATTGTGACGTAGTATATTCCCCATTGTAGACTCGGTGATCAGAGGATATCTGATAACCTGAAAATATTCGACTCTGTTCTTCCGTGATGCACTACTGTTGAGATTTTTGGGGTTCCTTTCCTTTCTCAATATCTTCTTCCGTCCAGATGAGACTGAGTTTTGGATATATAATACATGCCTACTGGTTGATTCGCCAGATTTTACTTCCATGGCATATTCTAGCCTGTGTTTCTTGGCATCGCGCTCCTTGCAACCTTCAATTTCACCAGATACAGAACACAGAGGCCTTTGCAGAAGGTGAGGACCTTTGGCGTTGAAGCTTGTCAATAATCCCTAATATCAAGAAGGTATCAGGAAACCACTTTTATTTAAGTGCAACTGATAGTCTGATACTGGACTTGAACCAATTTTTAGTCCAGGAAATGCGATGTTGGCAACCATTAAAGCTAAGGATCGCGTGACAATAGACCAAAAACATCAAACTATTCTAGGAACACAATCTTCAACTTGCATTTTGCCTTTATTTGTTAGATCTTAGGCAAAAAGAGAGAAGGGTCACAAATCATGAGAAAAAAATCAATAACCTTCAAGCACTTTGTCGCATTTCCTCATAATAGATTACTCTGCATAAACTTCCCATACACTCAATGTTGACAAGCTTTGAAGTATCTTTATTCATGTGATGCAACGACGAGAGCAATAAGAACTAATGACCACTTAAATGAAAGCCAAATTACTGTTTCAAGGATATGTGCTCCCAGTGTCAATAGACAATGGACAGTAGTATAAAATTTGAACATTGGGTTGATTTGGAGCTGAGAATGAGGACATTTCAGATGTCCAAATGGGATAATATTGACAGTTTCTTAGACCTAACTACAACACTTATCGTCTTATAGTATCTTATCATTTTGGATACACTTATGTCAGATTAAATCTTTTGGTTTAGGCAACAGCCTTAAATTGCCTTAGTAAAACCCAGAATAGCATCCAAGGTTCTATTATCCCAACCAACAAGATGCTAATACAACTTCTAATTCACAGCATCCACTAGAACTAGATGATCAGAACAAACTTATTCATAACCACATTCTTGGACCCACCAGCTCCAGCTAGAACAAAGGAATGCAAAAGGAAATCGGAAAAATTAACAACTAAGGATAAACCATTACAAAATTCAGAAAGCTACCAACAAAAAATCATACTCATCCATTTCAGCGTCTATATGACTTTTTCCATCATGGGACACATTATTAATAAAAGCACATCTTCTTCACTTAAAGCAATGAAGAAATGCGAAGCGAGGGGTCATCATTCACCATATGCAAATATGATAAAACACACCTTATGAACTTCACAGCGACTCAGTAGTAAAGTTAATTAGGACTTCCACACAAATGCAAACTCTGTTTCCAAACATTTCCAAACATCTAATCCAAATGTTTGCCCAAACAACACATTATCACCGGAGAGCAAGAATTCCATGTAAGGCAGACATGTCAAAAGTATTTAGCTATCACAAGGGCAATAATCGTGCCTTTTTGTATGTAAGCCAACTTATAAAGTTAAGAAAGCACAGAATTAGATGCCTTTTAAACAATCAATGGTAAAAGTAAGCATCTTTAACGCGAGAATACAAACTTCGATTTCTCCTGATATAAAGCAGGAAATAGAAGTTAATAGAGTTACCTTTACCATCCTTTCTCAATTTCAAATCACTTTATCTTCTTGACTCATACTAACGGATGTATCGTGCTCTGGTGATTTATGTAAGGTTGCAGACGTCAATTATTAGTGAAGAGAAAAGCAATTTGGAGAAGAAACGGGAACACTTCTAGGTGATCATCCAGAAAGAAAGGTTACATACTTTGAAGAAGGTATTTGTCCAGGGCATGCATGACTTATTTTTTGACAAAAAACAAAATATTGTTATTCCCTTTTGACAATAGTGCCGGGTCCAAGCTCATTTTGCCCAATACTTTCAGGAAAACAAGGCCAATAACTCTGAGACTTGTATAGTAAGCCCCATGGCAAATGAGAGCATTGCCAAATTTGATGCTGAGAAAATATCAAAAACAAAGGATATGAAATGAAAGATGGATAGTTACTTGAGCTCAAGATAACTGACCACATAATAAGAGATCTTAAAAGCAGCGAAAAGGGATCTGAAGATAATACCCAATTCTTTTAACCTTTCATCTAGCGGTTCTCTTATTTCTAGATTCTTCTCTCTGGGACTAACACAAGATATTTAAGTTGAGCTCGAGTGACCCGAAATGTTTTGCTATCTGAAGAAGGAGAAGAACGAAAGAACAAATGAACTTGAACTTATGACATACTAGCATTTTATCCAATGATATTTTCCAATCAATCTATCATTCTCAATCTTCCAAAGGTATATCAGGTTCCTTTTTTCTCGACTTCTTTCAAATACCAGAAGAGAATGATTTCACTTTCTTCTATGAAAACTAAGCGCTGAAGACCGCGTGATATCATGACCTGCAGCAGAATAGTGTCTTACCTCTGGGTGTCTAATCAACTACTGCGCCTCAATGCATTTGGTGGACTTGCATATATACTAGATTCTACTAGCAACTATTACCATAAAATATAAACCAATGCAAGATTCCATTTCAAAAAGAACCTTTGAGGAATAATTACATTTCTCATTTTCCTCAAAGCCATAGGCTCAAGTTCATCGGAACCTTATAACGTTAGCCTTAAAGGAAATCCTAAAGCGCAGCAATATTCAGCAAAATTGAAGAAAGCACTAAACTTGAACAAAATGTAAGGCTTAAGAGCAATTTCTTATGTCACAGAAGAATGCATAAATACTTATTCAAGGAGATCAATAGACTGGCGATAACAAAGAGTTGAAGTTGCTGCTTCAACCTCAAAATACGAATGCGAGAGTATAAGTATTTCCACTTTGAAATAGAGTTTACACGCAGTGATTCAACAAATAGAAGATCACGATACACTATTATATAGTTTATTAAACATCATCTCAACTAATTATATAGATATAACCGCATATGCAAATTAAACAGTAAAACCGCATATGCAAATTAAACAGTAAACATCATCTCAACACGTATATGTCTGCCTGCGTGTGTGCGAGCAAGGGGAGCGGAGAAATAAGGAGTTGAAAAAATAGTAATAATAAATTTTTAAAAAACTCACATCGTTGGTCAGACGGGAATAGTCGAGAAAAGAGCATAGCTTTATAGAAGAAGACGACACTTGAAAGGGAACAACGGCGAAAGAAGACGGGGCCCTGATGATTGATACTGAAGACCTGAAAGTCTGATCCTGGGGGCGGCCTGAACGAACAATAGCCGCCGGAGATGCTATTGCAGCAGCCATGGGATATGGACGGCGTCACCGACTAAAGAGCAGCGAGTAAATCCAGAAAAGTAAAAAATAATAGGGTTTTGGAGTGGAAGAATCGAGAAAGAAACATGCTTTCTCATTCCCGTCAGCTGAACATTGCACGAGGCACTACTAGAGAGAGAGGAGGGTGATTTCGCAAATGTTCTGCTTTAAATTATATTGCACTTTGGTCCCTATAGTTGTATGTTATAGTTTTTGTCCCTCTACCAGTGGACCAACTTCAAATATTTGGAGCAACAAATAGTTACTCATACTAACTTTCCTATTCATCAGATAGCTAGAAAAAAACACCAAAATTTTGCAAGCCACAGTAGAATTTGTTCTTATTATAAGAGCTTGGATCAACTGGTCGCTCTATTTATAATGTCAATTTGATCCAAGTACTCTTACTGCAAATGTTGATTGATATACTGATTCATTCCAAGTTCTCGATAACTTGAAGATCACCACCAAGCTGACAATCGACGTTTGAACACTTCCACTGCAAAAAGATAAGTCGAAGTTCGAGTCTATTGCACGATAAAAGAGAACATTGTTGTCTTGTTGGTCCTTCTGGAAAAGGGTGGGGGTTATTAAAAAATTAATTAAAAAGAAAAACAAACGAAGTGAGAGATCTTTCCAAATTCAAATGACCACCAAGTTCACCTAATAGTTGTTGGGATACACTATTAACCGTAGTTTACACATAGTATTGCATTTTATATTTTATAGAACAATTATTTATTTAATTTATTCAATTCAATAAATTATTATTTTAAATAGATCATTTGTTATATGTGTGTCCTTTAGTTATGTAGTAGACAATTTAGTATATGGAGTTTTAGCTCATGCACAGAAGATTAAATTGCCGGTTCTCATAATTAATAAACTATGTTCACAATCGAAGATGTTATTGGGCAAAATATCTTGATGATTGTAGCACAAGATTATAGTATAATTTGTCTTGATTATGGAAGTGGTTTTACTCCGACTTCTTGTGCTAGTATACTTAGTGTATATTGAACGGACCAAGTAGAGAAAAGATGTTTTTGTACTGAATATATATAAAATATTCTCTCTAATTCATTAAATGAGCTTATACTCATAATCTTGATATAATTATTATGATCAATGTGATTTATTTATTGTTTTGATTAATCAAAAGGTACAACTCTATTCAGAGTTAGTGTATGCCTAATAGATTGGACAATGACGAATAGCATTTGTGAAATAATAATTAGTTGATAGAATTCATGACTCGGTTTTGAGTTTGATGATACCCTTTTATGTAAGCTTATAAGTTTTCATGTGAAAACCCAGTCGATGGATTTTGTATCCGTCACATGAAATAGTTTAAGCGGAATTATAGAGGATTTAATTAGTTGATTAAATTAAATTATCAGCAATTTAATTTAATTAACTGGTATTTGTGATCTTAACATGGGGAGTTAAAATAAGTGTTAGTGAATTTTTGAAATTCATATTGAGGAATTCAATTGCAGTTTTTAGTGGAATAAATTACAATTAATTATAGTAGGAATTAATTCATCCAAATTTCTGAATTATGCTATAATTGGTAGCCTCTTACTATTTTTGTGGTCTCTGTTATACCTAGCAAAAACTTAGGCTTGACTTGGGTAAAAAATGACTTGGGAGAAAAGTCATCGTGTAGAGTTAGAGTAGGATTCTACTTGCACAAGCAGAATCCTACACGTTTTTGGAGCCTTCTTTGGTTGGAAAACGAGTCTACATAAGGAAGATATTTTTTACCCAATAACTGACCTTTTTCGAGTTGTATTGTTCTTGCCCACTTAAAGCAATTTCGTCCAAAGTCTTACTAGGACCATAGCAAAAGACTGCAGTCCTAGATTCATGCTATGAGGAGGACCTATGCAACGTTTTCAAGAGGTTAGTGGTTTTTAATCTCGTAATTATATCATTGTCTAGTTTACATGTATAAGATGCCTGAATTGTATGCTTGCTTCCGCTGCGCATGTTCTAATAATTGGCATCAGACGTCGTCTTACATCTAACTAGATAATATAATACATCATAAATAGAGTAATATTTAAAACGTGTTGTTAAATGATACATTTTTGGTATGATTATTCTATGAAAATAGTAGATTAACATATAAAATACAATATTGTTTTGGTATGGTTATTCTATGTCAAAAATGTGACTGTTTTAATTAGTATTTTAATTCTGAAATTATGGATTAATATACATATGCATAAATAATGGTGTTATATTTCATGACAATCTATTTTTATCATGTTTTTGTTGCATTTTTTTTTTAAAGAGATAACAGTGTTGATTTAATAAAAATGTGACCGTTTTGAATATTATTTCAGTTTTGAAATAATGGATTAATATACATAAAGTATGAACAGTGGTGAAAATAGTGATACTTTTCCCATATTTATTGTATTAGATCCATGAAAACGGTTATTTTTATATATGAAAACGACACTGTAATTTTATAATAATATTATTTTGAGTTCTGAAATCATGAATTAACATACATAAGTATATTATGTGATTTGAATGAGTCAAAATAATCAAAACCTTAAAAAAACACCAAAAACAAAATGTTTCGAATATGTCATGAATTTGGAATTCTAAAATTCTGTCGAACTACGATTGACCTCAAATTTAGTAGGTTCATCGAAAATGACCCAATGAGCAATACTCATCAGCTTTGCTCATGACGTACGTTGTTTTTTGGGCATTCAGGGTCGTTTAGATGGGGTTTTGGCCATTTTTCTATTTTCTGGAATTTGTTTTAACTAAAAAAAAATCTTAAGAAAACAGTGATGGTAGGGTTCAATTCCCATGGTTTCCAATCATGTTTTACAGTAATATAATGAATTTATATGTTGACATAGGTCTTCATCCACATCGGATAAGTTCATTATAGATGATTACTGTAGTTTTACCTCTAGTTATTTGATTAATTGTATTAACTCTCCAACTGAGTTATATATTGATTCTATGAAACTAGAGTTTATAAAAGTGATATTTATCAATCTTAAATTAAAAGTTTACTCACCATCTGAGTTGGTTCTATTTTAATTTATGGGGTAAACATCTTATCAATCAGATTAACCATGTCTTCATTCAACCCACTTACCTCAATTTTGAACCAAAACAAGTTAGAAGGACCAAATTATGTTGACTGGAAAAGGAACCTTGATATTGTCCTAACTGCTGAAAGTTACAAATTTGTAATCACTGAGGAATGCCCAGAAAAACCTGATGAAGATGCCACTGATGATCAGGTTAAGGCATATGACAAATGGGTCAAGGTTGATGAGATGATACGATGTTACATTCTTGCCTCTATGGCGAATGTTTTGCAACATCCGCATCAGTCTATGGGGTCTGCTTATGATATGCTCGAAAGTCTCAAAGAGATGTTCGGTGAGCAAAATTGTACGTCTAAGCAGACAATCATGAAAACCCTTTTGAACACCAAAATGGCTAAAGGATCATCGGTCAGGGACCATGTTCTGAAGATGATGGGTCTTTTGAATGAACTGGAGGTCCTTTGAGCTGTGATTGATAAGGAATCTCAAGTTGAGATAGTCCTGTAGACTCTGTCTGACAGTTTTTAACAATTTTGCTTGAACTATAATATGAACAAAATGGATTTGTCACTGGCGAAATTTTTGAATAAGCTGCAAGTGGCAGAATCTATTATCAAACAGCAAGCTCCAGTTGTGGCACTAAATGTTGAGAAAGCTTCGGTTTCTAAGTCGAAAGGCGGTAAGAAAAAGAAGAATCAAAAGGTTTTGGCACCTGGAGGTGCGGTTGGTGTGAAAAAGCCCAAAGGAAAGTGCTATCATTGCAAGCAACTTAGGCATCACAAAAAGCAATGCCCTGCCTATCTGGCAAAGTTGAATAAGTAAGGTAATTCGAATTTAAATGTCGTTGAAACTTGTTTAGCGGTTATCTCTACCATGTTTTGGTGTTTAGATTCAGGATCCACTAATCATATCTGCACTACTTTGCATGGGTTTCAGGAAACGCGACGGCTAAGTGAGAATGAAGTTTGTATTTTTGAAGCCAATGGCGAGCCAGTACCAGCTTTAGCATTATGAGATATTAGAGTTTCGTTAGTAGTAATAGAGTTTTAATTTTGAAAGATGTTTTCTATGTACCTTCTATTAAAAATAATTTGATTTTGGTTTCGAAAATAATGGATGCTGAGTATAATGTTGATTTTGCTAATAACTCTGTTGTTATTAAGTTTAATAAATGTTTTATCTACACTGCTGCTAGAGTACATGACCTTTTTATTCTTGATATATCTTCTCATCTGCTACAACCAAAAGAATTAAATAACATTAATCTTCCACATAAAAGAAAATGTATCTCTGAATTGAGCCAAACTTATTTGTGGCACTTACGTCTAGGTCATATAAATCTAAATAGGATCTCGAGATTGGTTTCTGATGGACCTTTGAGTTCATTGAAAGTGGAGGCACCGCCAACATGCTAATCCTGTTTAGAAGGTAAAATGACCAAGAGACATTTTTCCTCAAAAGGAAATAGAGCCAGCGATAAGTTAGAATTAATTCACTCTGATTTGAGTGGCCCCATGAATATACAAGCAAGAGGTGGTTTTGAGTATTTTGTGACTTTCACAGATTATTACTCAAAATATGGATACATTTATCTGTTGCGCCGTAAGTCTGAATGCTTTGAGAAATTCAAAGAATTTAAGACGAAAACGGAGAAACGACATGATAAATATATCAAAACATTGCGAACTGATCGTGGTGGTGCGTACCTTTCTGCGAAATTCATTTAATACTTATCAGATTATGGAATTACATCTCAATTATCTGCCCCAGGAATACCACAATAAAATGGTGTGGCAGAAAGAAGAAATAGAACCCTTTTGGAAATGGTTAGATCAATGTTAAGTTATTTTAATTTGCCTTTTTCCTTTTGGGGATATGCCTTAGAAACAACAAATTACATTCTAAATTTGGTTCTTTCAAAGTCAGTACCTTCAACCCTAGCAGAATTGTGGACTGGGCGCAAGCCAAGTTTACGGCACATTCGGGTTTGGGGTTGTCCAGCACATGTGCTGAAACAGAAAGCGGATAAATTGGAATCGAGAACAGAAGTATGCATATTCATTGGATATCCAAAAGGAACTAAAGGAGGTTTATTTTATTGTCCCAAAGAAAAGAAGGTAATTGTTACAACAAATGCCAGATTTTTAGAAGAGGACTATTTAATGAACCATATTCCTAAAAGTAAACTAGTTTTACAGAAATTAAGTAATAGAATAACTAATGACTCATCTCTGGAACATATCTTGGAAGCCAGTATTGACATACCACTGCATTATCATAGCGGGAGAAATGTTAATTGGCAGCAGAACGCACAAGAGCAATTTCCTAACATCTCACTACCCCAAAGTAGTGGGAGTAATATTGAGCAATCTCAGATTGTTCAGCAACCTGAAATTGTTGTGCAGCCTGCACTTCAGGAAGAAGTTAATGATATCCCAGCACCGCAAGGTGTGGAGGATAACATTGAAGCTTCAGTTCCGGAAAATGATATTGTGATTCAACAACAAAATCCAACTGCACCTGTAGTGACTAGTCGTAGTGGGAGAATTATTAATAAACCTCTCCGGTTTGTGCTCTTGGGAGAATATTATGATAGAATCCCTGAAAAACCTAATATAGAACCTCTTAATTACGACGAAGCACTATAGGATACAGATGATGATAAATGGGTTGTTGCTATGAAATCTGAAATGGAGTCCATGTACTCCAATCAAGTCCCGGCTCTTGAAGAACCACCTACTAGAGTCAAACCCATTGGTTGTAGATGGATCTATAAGAAAAAGAGATGAGTGGATGGAAAAGTGCAAACTTTTAAAGGTGGGCTTGTTACAAAAGGGTTTACTCAAAAATAAGGGATCGATTATGAGGAAACTTTTTTGCCAGTAGCCATGCTTAAATCCATTAGGATTCTCTTATCCATTCCTGCTCATTACGATTATGAGATTTGACAAATGGATGTCAAGATGACTTTTCTTCATGGAAGCCTTGATGAGTGCATCTATATGGCACAACCAGTTGGTTTCATTAAAAGTGGCAATGAGCACATGTTGTGTAAATTAAAGAAATCCATTTGTGGATTGAAACAAGCTACTAGAGCATGGAATACTTGTTTTGACACATCGATTAAAACCTTTGATTTTGATCAATGTGAAAACGAGTTTTGTATCTATAAGAAGTCGGATGGAGATAAAGTTACATTTTTGGTTTTGTACGTAGATGATATTTTGCTCATAGGAAATAATGTGAGCATGTTGAATTCAGTAAAGGAATGGTTGTCCTCGCGTTTTGATGTGAAAGACTTGGGACAAGCGGCACATATTCTTGGGATTAAGCTTATGCAGCGAAGGATATTAGGCTTATCCCAAGCACTTTATATTGATACTATTCTCACCAGGTTTAACATGTAAGATTCCAAGAAAGGTTTTCTCCCTTTTAGGCATGAAATCTCTCTGTCAAAAGATCAGTCCCCAAAAATGACCGATGAGATAGAAAAGATGAAGGCGGACCCTTATCCTTCTGCTGTAAGGAGTCTCATGTATGCTATGTTGTGTACTAGACCTGATATCTGCTTTGCTGTTGGCATGGTTAGTAGATTTCAGTCAAATCCTGGACGAGAACACTGGACTGACGTTAAACATATAATCAGGTACCTGAAAAGGACTAGGGATTATATGTTGGTTTATCACTCAGGTGATCTTGTACCCATTGGCTATACTGATTCAGATTTCCAGTCAGATAGAGATTCTAGAAAATTTACCTCAAGATATGTTTTTACCTTAGGAGGTGGAGCCATAAGTTGAAAGAGCATCAAGCAATCATGTATTGCTGATTCCATCATGGAAGCCGAATATGTTGCTGCATCTGAGGCAGCTAAAGAGGTTGTTTGGCTTGGGAACTTTCTAAAAGAGCTTAATGTAGTTCCTTCGGTTCAAGCACCTATTGTACTTTATTGTGACAATAGTGGTGCAGTTGCAAACTCGAAGGAACCAAGAATCCATAAAAAGAGTAAGCATATTGAGCGTAAATATCATTTAATTCGGGACATAACTCAGAGAGGTGATGCAAGAGTGTTGAAGATTGCATCGGAGGACAATTTGGCAGACCCGTTTACAAAGAGCTTGCCACAGAAGATTTTTGACAAGTATGTAGAAGGGATATGTGTTAGAGTTGTAGACACATGGTTATGAGTCTAAGTGGGAGATTATTGGGATACTATTAACCATGCAGTTTAGATATAGTATTGTATTTTATACTTTATGAAATAATTATTTATTTAATTTATTCACTTCAATAAAGTACTATTTTAAATAGATTATTTGTTACATGTGTGTCCTTTAGTTATGTAGTAGATAATTTAGTGTATGGAGCCTTAGCTCATGCACAAAAGATTAAATTGTCGGTTCTCATAATTAATAAATTATGTTCACAATTGAAGATGTTATTGGACAAAATATCTTGATGATTGTAGTAAAAAATTATAGTATAATTTGTCTTGATTATGGGAGTGGTTTTACTCCGATTTCTTGTGCTAGTATACTTAGTGTATATTGAACGGACCAAGTAGAGAAAAGATGTTTTTGTACTAAATATATATAAAGCATTCTCTCTAGTTCATTAAATGAGCTTATACTCCTAATATTGATATAATTATTATGATCAATGTGATTAGTTTATTATTTTGATTTATCAAAAGGTACAACTCTATTTAGAGTTAGTGTATGCCTAATAGATTGGAAAATGACGAATAGCATTTGTGAAATAATAATTAGTTGATAGAATCCATGACTCGGTTTTGAGTTTGATGATACCCCTTTATGTAAGCTTATAAGTTATCATGTGAAAATACGACCAGTGGATTTTGTATCCGTCATATAAAATAGTTTAAGCGAAATTATACAGGATTTAATTATTGATTAAATTAAATTGTTAGTAATTTAATTTAATTAACTGGTATTTGTGATCTTAACATGGGGAGTTAAAATAAGTTTTAGAGAATTTTCGAAATTCATATTAAGAAGTTCAATTGCAGATTTTTTGTGGAATAAACTGCCATTAATTATATTAGAAATTAATTCATCCAAATTTTCGAATTATGCTATAATTGGTAGTCTCTTACTATTTCTGTGGTCCCTGCTATACCTAGTAAAAATCTAGACTGACTTGGGTAAAAGTGACTTGGGGTAAAAGTCATCTTGTAGAGTTAGAGTATGATTCTACTTGCACAAGTAGAATCCGACACGATTTTGGAGCCCTCTTTGGCTGGAAAATGAGTCTACATAAGGAAGACATTTTTCACCCAATAACTGACCTTTTTCGAGTTGTATTGTTCTTACTCACTCAAAGCAATTTCGTCCAAAGTCTTACTAGGACCATAGCAGAAGACAGCAGTCCTCGATTCTTGCTTTGAGGAGGACATGTGCAATGTTTTCAAGAGGTTAGTGGTTTCTAATCTCGTAATTATATCATTGTCTAGTTTACATGTATAAGATGCCTGGATTGTATGCTTGCTTCCGCTGCGCATGTTCTAACGATAGTTTTCTCTCAAAATTTCTCATGGTTTATCAATTAATTATATATGTCATCATTTGGTCTCTTAAAAATCTTATACTTTTTTTTTGCCTCCACCAATAGATTAGCTAGTTAGTTGTACTAGGAGTTTTTAATAGCCTAATAAAAGTATGAATGGAGTATTTAGTTCTGACTGGATGCTAGTTTAGTTATCATACCACAATAAAATATTTTTCAGCACGAAAAAATAACACACCATTTAGTACCCCGAATGTCGTTTTATTACTAGAATACTGTCTAATACCGTCCAAAAATACCGACCGAAATCGGTCGGAAAATTGAAAAAACTGACCAATTTCCGACCGACTTTCATTCGTCGAAATTAGACTGGTCGGCAATAAATAGCGACCGAAGTCAGTCGCAATTTTTGACCGGTTTCGGTCAGTCAATAAAATTTCAGAAGCGACCAAAAACGAAAATATCTACCCAAAATACCGACCGAAGTCGATCGGTATTTTTAATTATGTAATTAAAAAATATACCGTCTGAAAATCAAACCGGGATCTGTACTGTGGCAAGGTACTATTCTGCCACTACACTATTGTCACATTTTGGTTTAAGTCTATCTTTTGTTTTATTTGTACTCTTTAATTGCATTTTCGCACGAAACTAACCGATAGATTTCGTTCGGTTTTATAAAAAATATAAAATTACCGACCGAAGTCGGTTGATTTTTTTAAATGACATACTGAAATAACCGACTGATTTCGGTCATTTTTTGAATATTAACTTTATTTTATATCGGGACGCCAAAATAGTTTCCCGCATTTTTGTTCCAAAACATAAAACGGCCGAAGTTTGTCGGTTTCGTAAAAAAAATTAAAAAATAAAATATTTTAAAATACCGACTGACTTTGGTCGATTTTTTGACCTACCGAAGTTGGTCGATCTGCCACAGTTGTTTAACCAAAGAATCAGATTCTCAGTCAAAGCCTATCTTTAGAAGTACTTAGGTTACTGATAATCAAGAAATTCAATATTCTCTCGAAAATAAGAAAAGAAATCGGAAAAAATGGCGAAGTAATCAATAGAAAGCACAAGAAAGTAATTATATTCCAATGTTTATCAGAACGTGTCCTTACAAGTGAAATTCCCTTCCCTTATATAGGAATTTACAAATATAACGTTTCTTCCCTTTTATGACAGAATCATTATTGAGCATTAATGACATTAATGAAGCGTTATAATTGACAACCGTAGTTGTTCATGAAGATTCTATAACGGTTTCGATTCTTCTTCCACATTAATTTGAGTTTCATGAATCTTCCCTCTTTATTGTCTTGATTTATCCTGCATGTGTCTCTTCACTGAATAATTTAGGCTCTGGCAACTGTACCTTGTTCGTCTCATGAGTGATTTGCTCGTACATGTTGTAAATCGTAACTCTTTTTAATGCGACACTCCAGTTGTCATCTTCTTAGTAATCCATGTATCTTGCACTATCATCCTCATATTAGTCCACGTGTAATATTTATTTTTTACCAATACAGATAGTCCCTCCACTTGCCGAATATTCTGCAATGGTATATTTGGGAAGTGGCACGTATTTATGGCGGGATTATTTTGCCGCCGTTTCCCATACATCATTGCATATTCTTCAGAACCATCGCTTCACATGTCACCTCCATTTACCCTTCCTAGATTACTGAGGGTTTGATTTCTCTTGTGCGAAGAGAATGCCATTGGAAATTTGACTTTCCAATTTTAATTCCTAGTCCAAACTAAAGGATTACTTTGTTTCAAGCTGGTTACTTTTTCGTTTACACATATCCTTTTACGTTAGGTTTCAAACCACCTATTGACCCAGCCATTATAGAATTTTGCCATTTCTTTAATGTTTGCTTAGGACAGATTGGTTCTATTGTTTGGAGAGTTGTTGCATGTTTAAGATACCTAGCTAATTCGGCCTCTTTACCCTTCACCTTTCAACACTTGCTTCATCTTTATTCCCCTAAGTTGTTTCGTTCAGGGGTGTTTACTCTCGTGGATAGGAGTAAAGGGGTTTTTGTTAGCCCTGAAGATGATAAAGATCGTGGCTGGTATGCCCGTTTTGTTGCTGCTCCCACAAGTGATTTAGTGG